GCTCAAAAATTATTAAACATAGGAGCCTCAGATTTCTTTTGTTGTTTAGCTCTGATGAAGCTCTATCCATCAGGCCCACCAATCAGTGCCCCCCCACCCCCAGAATTTATCTGAAAAAGTGGTATCTGGACATACAAAAATGCTTATAACTCAAAAACTATTAAACATAGGAGCTTCAGATTTCTTTTGTTGTTTAGCTCTGATGAAGCTCTATCCATCAGGCCCACCAATCAGTGCCCCCCGGACCCCCCAATTTATCTGAAAAAGGGGTATCTGGGCACACAAAAATGGTTATAACTCAAAAACTATTAAACATAGGAGCTTCAGATTTCTTTTGTTGTTTAGCTCTGATGAAGCTCTATCCATCAGGCCCACCAATCAGTGCCCCCCCACCCAACACGGACCCCCAATTTATCTGAAAAAGGGGTATCTGGACATACAAAAATGGTTATAACTCAAAAACTATTAAACATAGGAGCTTCAGATTTCTTTTGTTGTTCAGCTCTGATGAGGGGATTATCCATCAGGTCCAACCCCCCCCACCCCGCACACGCACACCCMAAAAAAAAGACCCCCACCCAAACCACTACAATTTTGGGATGCACCTAGTAGCATGACATTTATTAGGAATAAAAATTTCTGAGTTCCGGTGCATTTCTGCGTGCTAGGCTCATTATGTTACCGCTATGCAGTATCTAGTTTTAATTTTAAACTGTTACATTATGTCCTGCTCAGATCACATTGAGCTAAATAAGATCAAATCTGCTTACTTGTGTTGTAAAATGAGATGTTTTCCTGCTTCTCTTCTGTTAATAAATCCATAACACAAACAGGTTTTCGAGCATTATTATGACCCCCGCATGCGAAGTGTAAGCGGGAGTCATATTGTTTTCGTACTGTTTTTTTTTTCCAGTGATTTTTGGTCAACCGTAGCACAAAAACGGCTGCACCGATCAACATGAAATTTGGCAGGACTGTAGATGAGTCTGACCTACACTGCGCCAGCCTACGGTTTTACAATTGACCCCATATTTGAGGAGGGGGCTCCTTTCAGAGTGGGCGTGTCAGGACATGCAAAATCACTTATAACTCAGAAACTGTTCAACGTAGGAGCTTCAGATTTCTTTTGTTTAGCTCTGATCAAGCTCTATCCATCAGGTCCGCCAATCAGTGCCCCCACCCCCCAGACCCCCAATTTATCTGAAAAAGGGGGGTCTAGATATGCAAAAATGCTTATTACTCAGAAACCTTTCAACATAGAAGCTTCAGATTTCTTTTGTTGTTTTGCTCTGATCAAGCTCAATCCATCAGGCCCGCCAATCAGTGCCCCCCACCCCCCGGACCCCCAATTTTTCTGAAAAAGGGGGGGGGGGTCTAGATATGCAAAAATGCTTATTACTCAGAAACTGTTCAACATAGAAGCTTAAGATTTCTTTTGTTGTTTTGCTCTGAAGAGGGGCTATCCATCAGGTCAACCAATGCCCCCCCCTCCCCAAGACAAAACAACCCCCATCCAAATCACTACAATTTTGAGATGCACATGTAGCATGACATTTATTGGGAATAAAGATTTCTGAGTTCTGGTGCATTTCTGTGTGCAGGGGTCATTATTTTACTGCTACGCGGTGGCTAGGTTTTTTTTCTCAGTAATTTTTGGTCAACCGTAGCACAAACACGGCTGCACCAATCAACATGAAATTTGGCAGGACTGTAGATGAGTCTGACCTACACTGCGCCAGCACGGTTTTACAATAGACCTCATATTTGAGGAGGGGCTCCTTTCAAAGAGGGGGTGTCTGGACATGCAAAAATGTTTATAACTCAGAAACTGTTCAACATAGAAGCTTCAGATTTCTTTTGTTGTTTAGC